GATGTTAGGTTGTTAACTTAAGATCTTTCTAGCTTTTGATTTGGGTATTTAGTGCATTTTTCTATTAACACTGCTTTCTCTGTGTCCCAGAGATTCTGGTTCATTGTCTTTTTGTTCTCATTAGTTTCAAAGTACTTCTTGAGTTCTGCCTTAATTTCGTTATTTACTCAAGAGTCATTCAGGAACAGGTTTTTTAATTTTCATGTAGTTGTGTGATTTTGAATGAATTTCTTAGTCTTCAGTTCTACTTTGATTCCATTGTGATCTGAAAGATTGCTATGATTTCACTTCTTTTGCATTTGCTGAGGAGTGTTTTCTTTCAATTATGTGATAGATTTTGGAGTAAGTGCCATGTGGCAATGAGAAGAATGTATATTCTGTTGGTTTTTGGTAGAGATTTCTGCAGATATCTATCAGGTCCACTTGATCCAGAGCTGAGTTCAGGTCCTAAATATCTGTTAATTTTCTGTCTTGATGATCTGTTTGTCTAATATTGTCAGTGGGGTGTTAAGGTCTCTTGCTATTATTGTGTGGGAGTCTATGTCTCTTTGTAGATCTCTTAAGAATTTGCTTTATGAAGCTGGGTGCTTCTGTATTGGGTGCATATATATTTAGGATGGTTAGCTTTTCTCGTTGAATTGAACAGTTCACAATTATGTAATGTTCTTTTTTGATCTATGTTGGTTTAAAGTCTGTTTTGTCAGAAACTGAGATTGCAACTCCTGCTTTTTTTGTTTTCCATTTGTTTGTAAATTTTCCTTTATCTCTTTATTTTGAGCTTATGTGTGTCTTTCCATGTGAGATGGATCTCTTCAACACAGCATGTTGATGGGTCTTCACTCTTTATCTAGCTTGCCATTCTTTGTCTTTTAATTGGGGCATTTAACCCATTTAAGTTTAAAGTTAGTATTGTTATGTGTGAATTTGATGCTGTCATCATGATGCTAGCTGGTTATTTTGCAGTCTTGTTTATGTGGTTGATTCATAGTGTCACTGGTCTGTGTACTTCATTGTGGATTTGTTGTGGCTGCTAATATTTTTTCCTTTCTATACTTAGTGCTTCCTTCAGAAGCTCTTGCAAGGCAGGCCTGGAGGTGATGAATTCCCTCAGCATTTGCTTTTCCTTCACTTATGAAGCTTAGTTTGGGCAGTTATGAAATTCTGGGTTGGAAATTCTTTTCTTGGCCCCCAATCTCTTCGGGCTTGTAGAGTTTCAACTGAGAGGACTGGTGGTAGTCTGATGGGCTTCCCATTGAAGATGACCTTGCCTTTCTCTCTGGCTGCCCCCTAAACATTTTTTTCTTTCATTTTGACCTTGGAGAATCTGATGATTACATGTCTTGTGGTTGATCTTCTCATGGAGTGTCTTACTGCGGTTCTCTGAATTTCCTGAATTTGAATGTTGACCTTTCTTGCTAGATTGTGGAAGTTCTGCTGCATGATATTCTGAAGTATGTTTTTCAACTTGGTTCTGTTCTCCCAGGTACCCCATCAGTCATAGGTTTGGTCTTTCTACGTAATCCCATAGTTCTGAGAGGTTTTGTTTGTTCCTTTTCTTCTTCTTCTTTTTTTTTTTAAAGTTGTCTGCCTGTCTTATTTCATCAAGATAGTTTTCAAGTTCTGAATTTTTTTCCTCTGGTTGGTCTGTTTGGTTATTGATACTTGTGGTTGCATTGTGAAGTTCTCATGTTGTTTTTCAGCTCCATCAGGTTATTTATATTCCTCTCTAAACTGGTTGTTCTGGTTTACAGCTCCTGTAATGTTTTATCATAGTGCTTACTTTCTTTGCATTGAGTTAGATCATGCTCCTTAGCTTAGTGAAGTTCCTTATTACCCACCTTCTGAAGCCTGCTTCCATCACTTCAGCCTTGTCAGCCTCAGCCCAATTCTGTGCTGTTGCAGGACAGATGCTGTCATTAGGAGAAGAGACATTCTGGCTTTTTGAGTTTTCAGCACTTTTGCTTTGTTTATTTCTCATCTTTGTGGGCATATCTACCTTCGATTTTTAAGGTTGCTGATCTTTGAGTGTGGATTTTGTGGCTTGTAGGCGCTACAATTTTATCATTAACTCAGAGAAGCATTTTATAGATTAACATTTTGCATTTCACTTTGCATTCTGACATTTAGTGTGTGATTTTCTTGACAGTTAAAAAATTTCCATATTAGAACTATCAGTCTTTTAAAATATTCATCATTTTTATACTTAGAGTTTTGTGGGTGTTGGTTGGTTTGCTTGTGTGTTCATTTGCTTGTTTTGAGACAGAGTCTCATTCGCCAAGCCTGGAGTGCAGTGGTGCAATCTCAGCTCACTGCAACCTACACCTCCCAGTTTCAAGTGATTTTCCTGCTTCAGCCTCCTAAGTGGCTGGGATTACAGGTGTGCACACCATGCCCAGCTAATTTTTTATTTTTTAGTAGAGATGGAGTTCACCATGTTGGCCAGGGTGGTTTGAACACCTCACCTCAGGTGATGCGCCTGCCTCAGCCTCCCAAAGTGTGCGATTACAGGCATTAGCCACCGCACCCAGCCACTTACAGTTTTAATTCTTTAATTATCCTTTCTATATATCAAACATATTGAGGTCAAAACAAAATAGTAACTTTTCACTTGTCCAAGGAAACTGACAAATTTTTTAATTCTCTCCTTTCCTAGCTTGCTTTCTTCCACCTTTGTAAATTTAAGCAGATGTCAGTAGTTTTAAGAAACTTTACAGTAGCTGTAAGGAATATTTTAACACTTTGAATATATCATCTCATTCCCTTCTCACTTCTATTGTTTCTGATAAGAAGTTAGCCTTCAATATTAATGAGATTCTTTTGTATACAATGGGAAGAGCATTTCTCTTGCACTTTTCAAGATACTAGCTTTGACTTTGAACATTTTGACTCTGATGTGTCTGGCTGTGGATATCTTTACATTTATCCCTCTTGGAGTACATTGAGCATCTTAAATTTGTAAATTATATTATTAATCAAAATTGGGAAACTCAGTCATTTTTAAGTATTTTCTGTTTCATTTTTCTTCTCTTACTGGCTCTCCTATTATGCATATGTTGGCATGCGTAATGGTGTCCCACATTTCTCTGAGAACCTGTTCATTTTTTTAATCCTTTTTACATTTTGTTCTTCAGATTATATAATCTTTATTGATTTATCTTCCAGTTGCCATTCCAAATTGTTTACATGAAAATACATACATATCCACTTATAAATTATTAGAATTGATTTTATAGTTTAAGGTTGTTAAATACCAGGTCAATGTACATAATTAATTCTCTTTCTAAGAGTTGCAACAAATAAGAAATATAATTTAAATATAGATAACATTTACAACAATATAAAAAAATCAAACCCTGGAAATATTTTTGTGAAAACTGTCAAGCAGATTCAAAAACTCATCCAGAAATTCAAAGCACCAAGAGTAGCTAAAATAATCTTAAAACACAAAAAGGAATAATTGCTTTACTAAATATCAAGATCTTTGATAAAACTATGTAATTGAAAACAATTTGGTATTAGCACCAGGATAGAAAAACAGATCAATGGAAGAAGGGCAGAGAACCCAGAAACAGATCCATGCATATATTGACACTTGATTTATTGGAAAGTTGGGTTTATGGAACAGTAGGGTAATCTTTGACACTTCCCCCTTTTCACATCATACACAAAAATTGATTCCAGATGGATTATAGATCTAAACATTAAAGGCAAAACAATAAATCTTAAAGACAGTATAAATCATCTTTTTGACTTTAGAGAAAGATTTCTAAAATGAGACTGAAAACCCAGTAGCCATCAGGTATAATACCAATAAATTGCACTACGTTAAAATTAAGGACTGCTTCCCATCAGAACACATCATCAGTACACTACAAAACAAGCCATGGAGTGGGAAAAGCGTATCTCTACACATATAACAACAACAGAAAAAAACCCTTAAGTCTTGGAAATCAAATTCCTCCAAGTCAGGGGCCAAAAAAAAATCCAAAAAACACTGGAAGCAGATTGAACAGGCAAGTCAGAAAAGAAGCCAAAGATACTAATCAAAGGATATTTTGTATCATTATTCATAAGAGCAAAGCAAATTAAAACCCTGATGGTATAACTTTACATATGTATGAGAATGATTTAAATTAAAATCTGATAATACAAAGTGTTTCTTAGGATGTGAGGTAGTGGAACTCTTATGTGTTGCTGGTGGAAGTGAAAACTAGTTCAATTATTTTGAAAAAACTGTTTAGCGTCTTCTGAAATGGAAGATATATATATATATATATATATATATATATCCTGTTTGTAGAGCTCTAAACTAGAAAAATCTCAAATGTCCAGCAACAGTAGAATGAATAAAAGAGTGTGCATGTTCATATGATGGAATTCTGTACAGTACCAAAAACTCACTACAGCTACAGAAAACAGTATTGATAAATCTCACATTATTGAGTGGGGAAAGAACACAAAATAATACTGTGTGATTCCATTTACATGAAGTTTAAATTGATTAAATATTTAGCAATGCAAGATTAGGGGATAAGCTATAAATAAGAGCAAACTTGTTATGACCATAAATGACAAGAGAGTGGTTGTCTTTAGAAAAGTGAAGGGTATGTTAATTGACAGAGATCTGAGGAATATTTGGGGGGTTGCTGGCAGTGCCATTGACCAGGATAGTAGTTTCATGGGTTCATACATTGAGCTCTACATTTTGTTCTGTGTATTTTTTATTTATGTTATTTCACATACTTACAAAAAGTTTAAATATAATATTACATTACAAATAAACCTTTATGCAAAGATATGAAAGAATTAGAGTTAGTAAAGTGATTCTTTTTTAGGCTTTTTCAGTGGTATATCACGTTCAGTACAGTCAACATGGGAGGACTTTGATAGTGTAAGATGGTGCATGATACAGTGAACAAACTTGATGGGAAAGACAATATATTCAACTGTAAAAAGATATGTAAGATGCTGGTCTTTTTAATCTATAAATGTGTTTGCAGAAAATAAGTGTTCATAGTCGGTTGGGGATTATTTATAATCCTACGTCAAAAATAAATGAAGAGAACACAGCTATTTCTAGAGGAATTTTGGCAGCTTTTCTCACACAGAAGAACAGCTTTTTGAGCAGCTTTCTTGGGCAACTGGCAAAGGAAGAAACTGCTACAGCTATTTACTCTGGAGATAAAATTAAAACATTCCTGATTGAGGTCAGTAACTATTGGTTTGAAATATTAAATATGTACATATCATTGCATATTTAAAAAATGTAAGTGAGTGTACTTGGAGACGTTACTGAAAAACATTGATAGGTTTAAACAAATGGGGATAACAAACATTTCTTTTCAAATAGGAAAAAATAAACATTAAATGATAGGGCTTTGCAGAGGCATTTAATAAATCAGATTGCATATGTTTCATTAACTACTTCATAATTCTTAAAGTTGATGGCATTCTAGTTAGGATATGTACTTAAGTGAAGAATTGGAGGTTAAAGCATTGTATAAATAATCCTCAGATATTTCACTGAAAGGGTCCATTATGGGGGGAATTTCAAAGATGATCCTCTGGAAGAATCATTATTCATTCAAAAAATATATGTTGATTTTTTATCAGACAATGGAGATAAACTTGTGAACAAGCAGATAGAATCCCTGTCCCTGTTCTTTGTGGAGCTTACACTGTAGCAGGAAAGACAGACAAAATATTAATAAGTGGTTTTGATTGATTTGCTTTCAAAAACCAGGTCATTAGCCAAGGATTAGAGTGACAGTATGTAGTTTTAAAGGGTCGAGGACAAAAAGAGGAAATGTCAAATATTTTTCAATTATTCTGAGATTGAGAAAATAAATTAAATACATTAGTGGAGGAAGATTTCTGGTTGTTGCTGAGGGCCCACTTGAGGCTAATGATCATAATTTAATGCGAGATCTGCATTGGTTACCTGTTTTTCTCCAGCTGTATTTTACTGTTTTCAACCAGTTGCAGACTCAGCAGAGTTGTGTTTAACCAATGTTGGGGTTTTGCCCAATGAATATGACTAAGGGGAAGCATTCAAGGAAGCTAAACACGGAAAAGGTTTTGGTTATAGTAAAGTACTCAGAGATAGAACTTGGCTAAGAGGAAATTATGCCATGGGAAGGATGATGGACAGTGAATAAGTAGTAGAGTCTGTGGACTGAAAGGTTGAGTAATGGTTGATCTAGGGATAGGGGATGGTCACGAGGTTGTGGTCAGAGAGGGGACGATTGAAATGGGGATTTTGGAGGTAAAGAGGATAAGGGGCGTCACGGTCCAACACCACACCCACTGGCTACATATGGCTATGTTATACTTAAATTAAAATTAAATAAGATTTTTAATTCAGTTCCTCAGTCATAGTAGCCACATTTTGAATGTTGCATCACCATGTGAGGCCGTGGCTGCCATTTTAGACAGTGGAGGAGAACATTTTCATCATCATGAGAGCATCTGGGAACTTTTTAGAAATTTAGAATTTAAGGCCCTGATTCCACTGGAGTAGAATCTTCATTTTAACAAGATACCAGGTGGTTAGTATGCACATTAATGTTTGAGAAGTATTGAGAAAGAGAAATGCACCTTAGTATGAAGGTGTAATGAGCATATGTGTGGTTTATGTTCTGTGAATGTCCACGTATTTTTTTTTACTATAACCAACGGTTACTTTTGTTATTTCCATATTTAAATATATTATTATGAAACTGGTCTTCTGGGATTAGTATAATGGGGAGAAAGACAGTATTTCCATTTTAAACACTTTTTAAATTGAGAATACCAAAGGAGAGGTACTGCGTTCAGAATTTAATAAATATTTTACTTCATTTTCTTCATATCAAATTTTATTTAAATTGATATTCCCTAGTAATTTACTAATCTGGTAATTTCCCTAAAATTCCCAAAGAATGAGTAGCAAACTGAATCAACTTGTAATAAGATTTGAGCATATTATAAATGACTTGGCAAAACAGAATTCTTTTTTTAAAAATGTTCTTTCAGAAGAAAATTATACTAAATAATGATTTTTTAAAGTATTATTTTAAAATTTTACTATTAAAGGAATTTTTAAAGAAAATAATTTAATATACTTACTGTTTTCTTATTAGTTTCATCAATCTTTGCTTTTGCTTTAGGGGATGGATAAGAAAGCTTTTGAGAAAAAATATAACACTGTTGGAGTGAATATTTTCCGAACTCACCAGTTGTTCTGTCAAGACGTACTTAAATTGCGACCTGGAGAAATGGGTATTGTCAGCAATGGGAGAGTAAGTAGAAAAAACTATTTCTTTCCTTTTCCAGTGACACTGTAATGCACTGGTCTGACTTTTTTCTGTCACAATTCACCTGATGCAACACACACACAGGATGGTGTTCATGAGCCAAAGACACAAGACACAACTCAGCATAAATAAAATGGGATCATGACACACTTCCCCTTCCTTCTTCCTTTCCCCCATTCAGTGATGACGATGATGTGGATAAGAAAGAATGTTCTTTATGTGTCGTGCTTTTATTTTCTTCTAATATAAGTATTAGAACAAGTAACACACATCAAAACGTTGTCATTGAGAATCACTGTTGTAGTAAATATGTTATTACGTCTTTTTTCTTGTTCCTACATTTGTTTATGTTAAATAGCATTAGATACTATTATAAGTTTTGAAGTATCAAATAGTATAAATTGCCATGTAATATTTATTAATAAAATATTTACAGAGCTATAGGAAGAAAATCTCTTACTTTGACCACCCTAATAAAACTTACTGTTAATAGCCTATTGTTTTTTCTTCCAACCCTTTTTTCTACCATACGTGGATAGCCATTTCTGTTTTTTTTCAAAATACATGGTTATAATCCTATAATGTATAACTTTATATCATGGTTTTTCTGTTAATATAAATATTTTTCTGATTAGAGTCTTTGTAGACACATACAGAATAAATGGACGATATCTATATGTTAATATGTTTAATATGATAGTATGATTTTATTTCATACAAATTGTTTAAGTAAAATGAATCTGGTGCTTAGATTTATTAAGAAATCAACTAATGCAGTGTGTTTGACATATCTGTGGCTTGAATTTTCAAATTATATATCCCTAAATCATCTTCAAAGTTCTAATGCACTCTTAATGTTTTATTTGTTTTTCACTTGTTCACTTGCATGTTAGATTCAGGTTCATCTGTGTACAGTGCTATTTTACACATAAATGACAGCAGCTACCATTTATTGTAAAAAGCATTGGTGAATTTTTGTAGTGAGATATATAGAGCTCTATAAATGAAAGTACCTTTTCTCTTTAAAAGTTGCTTTGGGAGGAAATTAAGTTTTTAAAAGCATTTCTGAAGCTTTTGGCTGTCTTTGGCCATGTCAAGGTTTTTAAGGAATAAAGAGGGAAACAATGGCACCTGTTTTATCTAGCACTTTGCCTTTTAGTTATACACTAGGGAAAAGCTACCCTACGTCACCTTTGTCACTTTGATATAATTCATATAGTGTTACTCACTTTAATGATAACAAATACTAGATATAGTTATGTTCAACTTAGTTCTCATAAAGATAAAACTACATTTATATCTCAAAACATAAAGCTATGTTTTGTCCTTAGTTTCCTTAAAATTGACAAAAAAAATTAAGATATTAATCTTACACCTACTGTGAACCAAACATTCTTCTAGATTCGGAAGGCAGAGAAGTAAACAACTGTGTTTTCATGGGGCTAACGTTTTTGATGAGTAGAGACAGACAACAAACAGCACCGTTACTGATAAGGCATCTATCTTAAGTATGTTTATGCTGCTACAAAAATATATCACAGACTGGCTAATTTATCAAGAACAGAAATTTATTTCTTACACTTCTGGATGCTTGGAAATTTAAGGCCAAGGTGCTGCCACTGATGCCTGGTGAGGGCTGCTGTCTGCTTCCAGGATGGCCCCTTGCTGCTGTTTTTACATATTGGAAGGTAGAAGGGCAACAGAGTGCTGCCTTCAATCCTGAACTATTTTATTACACGGATACAAATTCCATTCATAAGGGCAGAGCCCTCATGGGTGAATCATCTTCCAAAGGCCACACCTCTTAATGCCATCACACTGGCCACTAAGTTGCAACACATGGATTTTGAGGGACACCTTTGTCTTAGTCTGTTTTGTGCTGCTATAACAAAATACCTGAGACTGTATAATCTCAGAAATTTATTAAAGAGCAGAAATTTATTCTCTCATACTTCTGGAGTCTGGGAAGTCCAAGATCAAGGCATTGACATCTGATGGGAGCTTTCTTGCTGCATCCTCACATGGCAGAAGGCCGTGGGGCAAAAAGGGGATGAATGCTATATTCTTATATGGCAGGAGAGAGCAAACCCACTCCTGAAAGCCTTTTTATAGTGACATTAATCCATTTTGAGGTCACAGCCCCCATGACCTAAACACCTCCCATTAGGCCCTAACTCCCAATACTGTTGCATTGGGGATTCAGTTTTAACCTGAATTTTAGAGAGGACAAAAACATTCACACCATAGCACATTCTTAGCAGGGTCATTTGGGCAAAGAACTAAAGAAGGTGAGGGAGGAAGCCAAGCCAAATATCTGGAAGAGGATTGTTCTAGACAGAGAGTACGGCGAATGCAAAGAATATGAGGTGAGATCATGTCTGTGAACTGTGGATCATGTCTGCTATTCTAAGAATAGCAGGTAGGAAGAGAGCAGTCAGGAGAGAGGCTCAAAGAAGTAGCTGGGGGAGATCATACTGGGTTTTATAGGCAGTTTAAGGACTCCCACTTTACTCTGAATGAGTTGGGAAGTACATAGTTCTGGGCAGGAGAGTGTCGTCGTCTAGCTTATGTTTTATTTGGATCACTAGAGGCTGTTACATTGAGAATATACTGTAGGGGCCAGGGAGCCAGTTGGGAGATACCGCAGTAGTCCAGATGAGAGATGATGGTCCAAGTAGTGGTAGTGAGAAGTGGATATGGGATGTATTTTGTATGAAGAATGGACAGGAATTGTCCAGGGACTTTGGTGTGGGATGTGAGAGAACTAAGTTACTGGCAGAATGGAGTTACTGTGGATCAAGATGAGGAAGGCTGTAGAATGAGTGGGGTTGTCAGGAGAAGTGTAAGAGGAAAGAGAATTCAGTTTGGACCTTTAAACAGACTTGTTGAGAGAGTGATTGAATATGAGTGTAGTTCAGAGAAAAGATTGAGGCTGGAGATAGATATTAAGTCCAATTATGTTGATTTTTTTATGTTGACTAATGGAAAAATATAATTTCGATTATCCTTTTATTTGTAGAACTGTGGTTTTAATAGAAAAGTATATTGGAAAATAAGTACTGTGGTTTATGAGTAATAATGTAATGCTTAACTTATCATTCTGTCTGAAAGTAATGCTATAAAGCATAATAATCACAGCAATGTGGCAGATGTTATAAAATTTGGAATCAGTTTAATGCTTGAAACAAGTATGATATTTTAGTATAAATATTCATTCTGAAACTGTTCAGATGTTTCAATTAGAATGGAAACATGCAAAGTTAAAATTGTTTATAAATGATCAACTAGGATACAATGATGATCTCATGATTTCTTAAAAACACTGAATAATTTAAAATTTACATATTTAATATTAATGCCACAAACAATGCCATTGTGATAATAATATTTATTTGTATCACACTACATATTCCAGTTTGCTGAAAGACCTAGGGTAGCAGGGAGTAGGAAAAATACAAGGTCTTTTATTGTTTTGTAGTCAGAGCTGAATTCAAAATTCAGTTGCACCATTAATTATATAACCTCTATGAGACCTGATTTCTTCATTTGGACAATGAGAATGGTAATAATCTCTCTTACAGGATTGTTGGAGAGATTAAATATGCTCCTATATTTAAAGCACATAGAAGGAACCCAAATAACATTTAATAAAAATAGCATGAAATTTACAGAGTAAATTTTCAGTAAATATTAACTGCTATTTTCTCTCAAAATAGTTAGTTGAAGGCCATCATGAAAAATAGTGGGTAAATTTGTAGACTCAATTTATGTTACTCTAGTTAAAAGTTAGGATAAAATCAAAACTAGTTGATCAAAATTCTGTGAGTAGAGAGAGATTTTTAGCTCAGTATGTGGATGAAAATCAGACAGCGTTTTCTGCAATTTTAATGACCTGTCAAATGAAGTAATGCATTTCTGTTATGGCAGTTATTCTATATAACTGAAAAATCACATTTTAAAAATGTTTTAAAGAAGATTTAAGCAACATAATTTTCAAATTTATTGTTCTTTTCCCCAACTTAGACATTATGTGATTTTATGCTATTTAGGTTACGTTATTCCACAAATTTTCAACTTTAAATAGAGCCAAGACACAGAAACACTAGGTTTCTCCTTGCTATTTGATGCTGTGCTTAACATAAGAAAATAGAGCTGGTTTTCTGGTAAATTTTATCGATAAGGATAGCCAATATAGTTAACTCCTTAAGACAATACTTCATTTCTTTATTCTACATTACTAACAAAACTGCCCCTGTCACTAGAGGTAGTATAGTTAAAATTCAACTATTTTCCAAGACTGCTGATTCATAGTTCAGAAATGTAACATAGAATGTGCCTTCAAAGTTGCTTTAAATATTGTATCACATCTTAAGACAATGAAATGTTTGTATGAGTACTTTTAGTATTATAGTGCCAATTTTTGTGTTTTTAAGAGCTCGTGTTTTATATTTAAGATGAAACATGATATTTGTTTAGTTGGGATGCTAGTATCCCTGTTTATCACCTTTGGTATGAGAAATTGGGATAGAAAGATTCAAGAACTACACTTCAGTAATTTTTAGAAAAGATTAACTGCAGAAGCAGGTGAAGAGGAAGTGAGAAAATCTGACTATAGCCATTACATTCTGGTCTTTTTAGCAAGAAAAAAAATATTCTGGTTGACATGGTTTCTGATTATCATTAAATATAATTGTTTTGTAAATAAGATTATATCAGTCTACAGTGGGGCTCTGTATACATAGTATTAGAATAATTGTATGTATTAACTTCCTCAGAAAGTGCTCATGGTAGTAGAGTCAGTAGTGGCTGTGATAGGAGAGCCATCCTGAGAAATTAGGCATATGGCAAGTTGGCAGCTTCTAACTTTGTAGTTACTGCTTTAAAGTTAATATAGGTGACCTTGGTAGGCTCCTAAACATTTATACAACATCACTTAAAAGAAGACTACTTGGTATTGTTATAGTAAGTATGTGATTTTTATGTGATTTATTTCTTGGGTTTTGCTATTTTATGGCTTTCTTAAGAAGTAATTCATATCTATATAGTGTAGACTATAATTTATAGATGAATGTGAAAGAAAATTGATATTAAAATACTTTTTAAATATAGGCAATTGCCTTAAATTGAATTTAGATTGAAAAGGTATTCGGAAACATCATGAGTTATGTTTCAAATCATCATTTATGATTTATGTTTCAAAGTAAAACTTTCTAATGGAAATAATTTGCTAGTTTTTTATATTATCACTTTGATTTTGGTGTTTATACAGATGTTATTTGTAATATAAAAGTGAGGAAGTATTTTTATCTTGTTTGCTAGTGTATTTAGTAAATGGCAGGATTAATAGCTACTGTATCTTTAATCTCTAATTCATTTTTGCTTAACAAAGAAATATCTATTTGATGAGGAAATGTTTTTCCTAAACTGATATCTTCTAGAAGACATACAATAATATAACTATTTTTATTTTAAGTTCTTAGGACCTTTAAATGACGATTTATATGCAGAAGATTTTTACTTATTGGAAAAGATAACATTTAGTAATTCAGTAGAGAAAATTAAAGGCATTGTTGAAAATATGGGAATCAACTCAAATAAGTAAGTATGTAAGTCCTAAGAGCAGTTGATTTTGGGCTTGATATTCTGAGTCTCATGCTTTTGTTTTAAGGTTAGAAAATGTTTCAAATATATAGATAAGTAAAGGAATAATAAAAGGCATATATAAAGACTATAAGGAAATAATAAAAGACATCCATTTACTCCATCACTAAACTGTAGATGTGAATGTTTTCTTTGCGTTGGGTCCTTCTCCTTGTTTCTTACCCATCCACGCCAGCCTCCTCCTTCACCAAGAGGTAACCATTTTCCTAAAGGTTGTATGCATGGTTCCCATATTTGTGTTTATACTTTTGATTCCTATGTAATTATCCATTATTGGTGTTTGTGTTGAAGGCTGTGACTTTCTTAGAGAAATGCTAATATCCTGTGGGTCTCCCTTTGCAGTTTACTTCTGTAGATTTAACCATGTTCAAATATATAAAGCCTTTCTTGAAGCATTAATTGTAACATGAAATATGGAACCTTCTCTTTCCAAAAAACTCATACACTGTTTGTCTTATCTAGCATGAGTGACCTCATTATGAAAGTTGATGCTCTTATGTCCTTTTTGCCTAAACATGCATCTCGATACGATGTCACATTTCTTAAGGAGAATCACAGGTAAGAATGTAATCGTATCTGTGTTTTTTCTGTTAATGCATGCAATTATTTCCATTTATTTTCATAACATGGTAAAATTTAAGGCAGAATTAAAAGTTATTTATTAGAGAATAAATGTATTTGACAGTATGAGGAAGATAAATTCCAGTTAGTTATATATTCTGGTAAATAAAGGGTAATGTATATATAGAGTGAGAATATGAAATTTCAAGTTATACGTAGTATAATTTGTCATATTTTTAATATCTTTCATGCTGAAAATCATTCGTAATTTTTACAGTATCTCAAGATAATCATAAATAAAATTTATATTTTCTATGTGTAAAGTGACTAAAGAGTTCTGATTAATCAAATATAGGGTGGCCTCTGTCACAAAGCTAAACACACGTATGAGCAAGAGTCAGAAGGATGAAGGGAGGATCCAGGGAAGGCTGAACAGCTGTAGGCCCAGCTGCTGCCTGGGGCCAGGAAGGTGAATGAGCAGATCAGCAGTAAATGTGTGAGCTGCAAAATTGCTGCTGCCACCTCTCAGTCCTCTAGATCTCCTGAGAATCACTGTTGTGGCCCACCCAAGCCAGAAACATTCTCGGAAATATGGTTTAGCCTGGCCAAGTTGACACATTCTAAAGCTGCTACGTGGACCACGGATCCAAGGATTTACTCTGTCAGGCTAGCAGTAGGATGGAAATAAAGGCTGTTTAGTCACTATTCCATGTTTGATTCCTCAGTGATTTCTACACCCATATTCTCTATGAGGGGACCTCGTTAACTGTAAAAGTAGCTAAACTGCTTTTTTAAAATACTGCTACTGAAGGTTCCCTGAGCTCAGTCAAGTGCCTTACAATTATCACCTTTAGTAATTTTCTCTAGAAATACCATTTTTTATCTGTCAAAGAACATTCTTTCCTATCAAGGGAAATAATAATACATAAATACAGTTAAATTTACATGTAAATTTCTACATTAAAGTCACACACTGTTACTGAATTTTAGAAAATGTTAGTGAACCTTTGGAAATTGATATATCTTAGGATAATATAGTATGCCACAGTGATGGCCAAATACTTCAGATCACTTTACATTTGAATTTATGAATTATCAATATTATTTCTATAGTTATATCTGTGTATTATTTTCTGAGCATATGCATATACTTCTATAATCACATAAAAATATTCACAGCTTTTTAGAGAGATAAATGTGTGTGTATACATTGTGCATGTGTGTGTGTGTGTGTGTGTGTGTGTGTAGTGTATGTGTATATATTTAAACACAGTATTATATCTTTGCCATTCTGCTTCTATGTCTATAGGGAGTCATTTTATAATTAAAGAAATGTGTTAAAACACTTGTTATAAATCTATTACTGCTGTATACATATGTTTGATCTTAATTCCAACTTTAAAAATTTAAATTGGCGTATAAGAAAATTTAAATTTGACAGGTAACTTAAATTAGAAGTTTGCAAAAGAGGAAAGAAAAGAGTAGGAGTAAATTGAAATCTGGAATAAAGTAAAAAATGAGAAAAAACAATTTTTTCCCAGCCCTGAAAGATCTCTGTATTAGGCTATTCCCTTCCATCTGGACTGTGTGGATTTGACGTTCTTCTAGCATCTTAGACAAAGGCAAAAAATAGCAATTCTAACTGCTCACCCCATGATCCCAGGAACTTGCAACATTAAATGTAAGTTGTGCGAGAGACTATAAGGTCTTGAAGGAAGCATTGCAGGCTGTGGCAGTAATGACCCTCCTGCCTGCCATGAGCATATCATGAATTTAGCTCTAAGTTTTCCAGTTTATACAGTTCCCAAGTTCATGAAAGGAAAACAGACTGGGTGTTCAGGTGAAATGTAAGTATTCTTAGAAGAGGAAACACAAAGGAATTTCTCCCAGGAGCCTTCATAAAGAGGATTCTGTGTAATGAACAGTGTTTTCAGTATTCTTATTATAGATGACTTGACCTATTTTATAGATAGGTTAATAGTATCATAACAAAATTCAACTCAGAGTTTTCTGTTGCAGCAGCCTGTTTGAAATTTATTTAGTATATCTGTAAGAGTTGCTTAACTGTGTAGACCTAAGCAGTTCTTCACCCTTTTATTGTCAGACCTGGGCTTTAACAATTAATTGACTGTCAGTGTGCTTGACAGTATTCCTCCTGGCTAATAACATGAAGTTTATCAATAGTTTTTTGACAATTGAGTACAAATCTGTTACCTTAAATAGGTGGTAGTTAGCATCTTATTGTTAATACTACATGAGAAAAAGGATGTTCTGTTCCATTCTTGGGTTAATCAGTGTAATACCTACTAGTGGGCTCAGGAAACGGTCTTGTACACGTATAATAAGGTGATGGGGATTATGGAATTCTGCTTCATACAACTTCATAGAATTAGAATAGTCTGGGAGAAAAAAGCAACAGTAAACAGATGCATACTGAAGCCATAATAACATCTCATGAAGCATACATAAAATGACCAGTTTTGAGTAGTGTTACAAAGTAGGATAGTAATTTGTAAAATTTTCACCAAGGTAACTAAAGGAAGCAACAGTTGTCAAGAGTCACTTTAATGGTAGAATGTCTGATTTGTGGCTCTTATATCTAGCAATAATTATTCATTAAGGTCTGTTGTCTGACTCTGCCCCTTTTAACATTAGATCATGTCAATTGCATGGAAAATAAAATGTCTTGCAGTTTTCTGTTCACATGACCCATATTTGAAGTAAACGTTTATATTAGCTTTTTTAAATTGCTGAGCAATTAATCCCCTCACTGCAGAAAGCCTTTCCCTACAAAGGAAACTAATTTTCCTGTAACTACATGTGTACCTCTTGATTTGGTAATCTTTTTTCTTTGTAATATGTAAAATGTGTAATTAATTCATCCTGCATCATATATTTCCTATATGATTATAGTGTTAAAACAGTAATTCAGTAGAATATTCTTTGCTTTTAATCAAATATACATTATTATCTTTTAGTTAAATGTAGAATTGACTCCCTCTGGCCTATTCTGTACTTTTAATCATTTTTCTCATTTCCCTTTAAAAAATTAGTTCATCTTCTAATTTAGAACTTATGTCAGTGAAAGACAAAAATGGATAGGACAGAGGGAAGGAGGAGAGGAAGATTGGGATTGAAATAAAGCATGATTAATTTGGGTATTTTTGTTCCCTAACTTCCCTGTTATAGTATATTGATTTTTTTGAAATACTAAATTTAATGAACTATGAATAATTAATTTTACTATTCTCAAATCTGAAGACATATATTCCACTAATACAAAAGCATCTTAGCTTTATTTTTCAAATTGTACAATCCATGAGAATTTTGAGGGCCTAAAGTGATCAGAGCTTTTACACTAATGGGATCATTCCTTGAAAAGGTTTTTAAAAAAATCACTTCATTCATAAAACCTTACTTCATTTTCTCTAATTCCTTTTAGTTTTGTAATTTGTTGAAAACAGCTTTTCAAATTTGCAAAGATTGTGTGAAATAACCAGTATTTTAAAAATTTAGTGAGAAAGAAAACAATTTATAAGAATTATATAGCTAAGATCATGATTAATTAGTTATTTGTATAAACTTGACTCATCATCTTTAATCTTATTTTCTATTTTCTTAGTGTTATAAAGATGAATCCTCAAGAGAATGATACATTCTTTGATGTCATTGCTATTGTTGATCCACTGACAAGAGAAGCACAGAAAATGGCACAGTTATTGGTTGTAAGATAATATAAATTAGACTAAATATTTTTTGTTTTTAAATTCATAATTTTTTCAAGTCTGTTTTCAAGTATAATCAGCTATTTATGCTCTTGATTCTTTACTTCACCATTTTAATAGATTGTCATATTTCAATGTAGAAAATGAAATGATGGAGCTGTGCACATAGTGTTATGACTATGTTGAGGTTAGGTGTTACTGTGAACTGCATTGTATTCCCCACAAAATTCATATTTCAACATATGAAATAAGTTTCAGTGAACTTTAAGCCCTAACCCCCAATGTAACTCTATCTGGAGATAGGGCTTTAAGGAGATTATTAAGGTTAAATGAAGTCATAAGGGTGGGACCCTAATCCAGTAGGATTGGTGGCCTTAGAAGAAGATGAAGAGAGAGAGACTGTACAAAGAAGAGGTTATTTGAGCACACCATGACATGTTGGCCACCTACAAACCAGAAAGAATGCTCTCCCCAGAAACCAAATCAGCTGGCATCTTCATTTTGGAATTCCCAGCCTCCAGAACTATGAGAAAATTAATTTCTATTGTTCAAACCACTCTATCTGTGGTATTTTATTATGTCAACCTGAGAAGACTAATACAGGTGTCTTTCATGTGTTGTGGTGTGGCTTTTGGAGAAGCTTAAGCTTAATTGAATAAAACTTAAAGTGTAGTAAGTAATGTTAGCCAAACAAGTGAAGCTGAGGAAAATGGAAACATGGAGTTTGTATTCCGTAGGTTTGCCCACTGTAACAAAGCCCAAAATAATACTACTTTCAAGACTGAAGTTTCTTTCTTTCATCTCCCGGTCTAAGTGTAAGCTACCTGGGGTTGCTAAGGCAGCTACACGGTGTGAGGGACTCAGGTACTGCCTATGTAGTTGTTGAGCCATCACAAAGCACCTGAGATCACTAGTCGGGCCCTAATATCATCTCTGTACTTCTGCCAGCAGGAAAGGGAGAATAAGAGTGCAACCCCAAAGTTAGATGTATGCTGGCTTATCTCTTCTCACATACCAGAATGTCTGCAGGCTGGCTATACTGAATGACAAGGGAGGCTGGAAACTATGGCCACAAGTCCTGCATAAACCCGGAAATTCTTTCCCTATGAGAGAGGAAAATGAATTTGAGGAGACAGGTATCAGTCTCCAAAAGGACTTACGTGGCTTACTGTTTTGCTGAGAATTTCAAAGGTTCAAATTGTAATGCAGCCTACAGTAGTTAAATTTGAATAAGCTAGCTCCATTAAGCCTGTATGTTTTTCTAGTGATAATGAAAATTTTACAAAATATTGGTCCTTTGGTAGTTGACTTCACTTTTGAAAACAGACAAAACTAGTTAGATATTGAGTCTGGTGAAAATGTAAGTGATCAAGCCGAGTGATTCTGCTGTATATCGAAATTTCAAAATACAAATTTAAAATTTAGTGCGTGCTACCAAATCTCATTGGAAAATGAGATTTTATTAGTGGAGACAAATAATTTTGGAAAGACTTTATCATTCTAGCTGTTCAGTTTATGAAATGAGTAGGAAAAACTTAATCCCATAGCTGATTTACCCAGTTGTTCTTTTAGCACTTGCAATACCTTCAAATTTATATGTCTTGAGATATACTATTCAGATTATTCTTTAGAAATCTATATCATCTGGAAGGGATGGGGCTAGTATGCTTTTTAGTATGCAAATTCCCTATTTCTGTGAAGAGTCATTGTTCACAAAAACCATATTACTTAAATTTGAAAGTTTTTTTATATAAAAGTAAAATTTAGGAATAAGAAATATGTAATCAGTCACCCCCAGACAGGTCCCAGTGTGTGATATTACCCTCCCTGTGTCCATGTGTTCTCAATGTTCAACTCCCACTTATGAGTGAGAACATGTGGTGTTTGGAGGGATACCATTAGGAGAAATACCTAATGTAGATGATGAATTGATGGGTGCAGCAAACCACCATGACACATGTATACCTATGTAACCTGCATGTTCTGCACATGTACCCTAGAACTTAAAGTATGATTTTAAAATTTTTTAAAAAAACACTGTCTCACTCTGTTGCCCAGGCTAGCATGCAGTGGCACAATCATAATCATAGCTCACTGCAGCCTGAAATTCCTGAGCCCAGTGAGCCTCCTGCCTCAGCCTCCTGAGTAGTTGAGATTCCAGGAGCAATCCACTGTGCCTGGCGAGGGAGAACTTTTTTAGGATGGGAGGTATTTGAGCAGGTTTTGATACAGGAAAAGGAATGCAGATACACTAAGCGAAAGGGAGATAAAAGTTGGAGTCCAACTCAGGAGGAGGTGGGGAGCGGGGAGTGGGAGCAGTGGAGGGCTCTCTGGGAGGAGGGATGGGGAGACTTGAACAGGAGAACAGAGGTGGCCCATCCTCTATCCTCTGCTTCCTTCCGAAAAGGAAGGACAGCCTAAAGCCAGGGAGTGGGTCAGTAAGGGTAGTGTCTCTCTGCAAGGACCAGGGCAAGGGTCCAAAACAGGGACACACAGCCCAGCCCAGTCCTGCGTCGTGGCTGGAGGACATGAGGGGCATAAAGAGAGACCCCCATAGTCAGAAGAAAAAGAAAAGAAATACGGAATTAGCCAAAGCAGGAAGATCACTAGAAATTCAGCCTGGGCAACATAGCAAGACCTTGTCTCTACAAAAAAAAAAAAAAAAAAAAAAAAAAAAAAAAATGCCAAACATGGTGTTGCATACCTGTAGTCATAGTTACTACTCAGAAGGCTGAGGCAGGAAAATTGCTTGAGCCCAAGGATTTTAAGTTAACAGTGACCCATGATCACACCACTACACTCTGACCTGGGCAACAGAGCAAGACCATCTGTCTTAAAAAATATATATGGAATTATACAGTGATACAAAATACGGAATTGCATTCTGGTTTCCATCATTGGTAATAATCGCATACTTTATTTCTTAGTCACTTTATTTCTTACTTTATAAAAGGATAATATATTGGAAGAAACGGATAGTTTTTCGTTAATAAATGAGAAAAACAGCAGTTCAGTGACCTCCAGAGTAGCAAATATGATGAGTGATAGAATAGGAATTGAAACTCAGATCTCCTTAATTCTTAGTCTTTATGTTCTAATTGCTCATCAAGCGTGTATCCTTTCTGTTACATATATCTGTTTTTTCACTTGTCCCCTTACCTATATCCTTTGTTGTCTAATAGCTTTTGAACCTTCCCTTTCATGTCACCTATGTAGAGATGAGGACTATCAAAATTAGTAATTCTTCCTCTATGTCTTATGATCCAGGAAAATGAAAAGAAAGTATTTATTTGTAGGTAGCCAAGAACTTCTAAGTTCCAAAAGAATCAGGATACTGCCCATGTTGTTATAAGGTCACCACTTTGTATTTGCAGATCAAGATTCTACTAATTATTTTCCTTGTTCTTCAATACTAAGGAAATTTAGATAGTATGAAAAAAAGTCATTTTAGGCAAAAGGCAAGCAGCATAACCCTGGGACATTGAAATCAACTGTTTGGATTAAAATCTTGCCTCTGCTGTGAGTTACTGTGTGACCTTGAGCAAATTAATATCTGTGTACCTAAACTGCAAAAGTACTATTTCAGCAGGGCATTGTAAGGATCAAGTGAGATAATGAACATAATGTTTTAATATAGTACCTGATACATAGTAAGTGCATAATAAATATTAGCTATTAATATTATTTAATATCAAATATGGGAATTTCTTTCCAATAGGTACTTTGCAAAATTATCAACATGAAGATAAAGTTGTTCATGAACTGTAGGGGTAAGCTTTCAGAAGCCCCTTTAGAGAGGTGAGTCTGAGTGAACAAAATTTCATTTTGAAAAAATTGTAAATGCTGAGAAGAAAAAAATAATAATTGTTGCTGGAGCTATTTTTTTTTTCTTCACAAGATGCTTCACAGAAATATGTCAGAAGATCAGGCTGTTTATTAACTGACATGAAATTGATATAAAAATTAAAATAACCTAACTCAGTAAAGTGACCTAATTACAGAGTTTATATGGACTTTTATTTATTCATAGGTATTTTTAGAAATATGATTTAGGAATACCTATTTAGAAATATTTCAATGGGAAATAAGGTGGAATTAAACCATTTTTAGTTTAGCAGAATTATCAAAATGATCTTTAATACATCATCACATTTACTATTTGGGGGCATTAGGATACAATTAGTTTGGAATAATTTGCCAGGGATACAAAAAATGTTGTTTATCATTATATACAAATATTCCTCATAATACTGTCCTGTTGAAATAACATTCCCTCTCAAGAGGGAACAAAAATATACCCTTTCTTTTCCTTGTGGATCAGAATCACTGTCATTCTTATTGATAGGAATATTCAATTATCCTTCATGTGTCATTGGGTAGAAAACAGGGTATGTACCATTGTACTAGTATTGCTTTTTAAGACTTGTTAATGTGCTCATCACTGAACAAAAGATATATGCTTACACAAGACAGAAAGGTGGCATTCTGTTAATTCCTTGTTTACTTTTCAAATTGTATTTGTTGACATACTGTAGATTGTTGCCTTGAGCAGAACTTTTTTATTTTGTTTTGAGACAGGTCTCACTCCCATTGCCCAGGCTGGAGTGCAGTGGCGCCATCACGACTCACTGCAGGCTCGACTTCTCGGGTTCAGGGATTCTCCCACCTCAGCCTCCTGAGTAGCTGGGACTATAGGTGCATGCGACCATGCACAGTTAATTTTTTGTATTTTTGTAGAGACGGGGTCTTGGCATGTTCTCCAGGCTGGGCTTGATCTCCTGGACTCAAGAAATCCACCTGCCTTGCCCTCCCAAAATGCTAGGATTGTAGGCATGAGCCACTGTGCCCAACCAGAGCAGACATTTTAAACATAAGTATTTTTAATAGCAGGAAAGCAATACAATGGAAAATGTGGGAAATTTAGATGAAAGTTTAGGACTTACTCATTGTCCCTCAAGAGTCTTGTCCATATATCTCATTCAGTTTTTATGCTTCTCATTTATCTTTTGTGTTTTAAATTTTATCACATGCCTTTTTACATCTGAACAAAAACTTTAAAATTTTTGGCTACTAATTGAAAGTTTTGTTAATTCCATGAGTACAGAATTTTTATTCACAGGAGTAGGGATCCTCTCCATAGTTTCTCTGTAAAACATCACAATATATAATAAAGAGTGGGATTATTGAATATATAAGCAAGCATAATCTACTGGGAGGGAAAGAATTGACTTTTCTAGATGAAATAATGTACTAGAGTATACAGTTACTATTTTTTAAAATAGTAGTTCAACGTAATCTTATTTACTCAGTAGCATGTATCAAAGCAATCTAGCTTACATATTATTCCCAGCCCTTTCCTTTTAATAAATATATTCTCCTCAGAGATGAGACAGGTTAACAGCAGGAATTCCCTCAACTCCTTACTCTAACTGCTGTACTTCCTCAGCCTTCCAAAGAATGGGGGATCTTTCTTCTTTTTTATGTGAACATTCTCTGTCTGTTTTGATCTCTTGCTTTCCTGTTTGTTCTGGATGCTTGCTATATCACGTATTCTCTCTTTTGGATTTTTAATCTCTGTACTAGCTTTTCTCCTTCAGTCCTTAAAGCTATTCAGTTTTTTAAAAAGTTGCTCCCTTAACTTCCTCTCCTCTAGAGTCCTTTTTTCCCCATCTTCTTTACTCCTTCTCATCTAAATATCTTCAAAGAGTGCTCAGACTCCATCTTCATCTCGCATTCACTTACCTTCCACTGCTGTTTGTCTTTAACTTCCTCTTTGCCATTGAAAAATCGTATTTACTAAATTGTTTTTTTTTTTTTTTTTTTTTTGCTGGGGTGATAAAGGGTATTTCTGTTCTAATAACTATATTTTTTTTTCTTAAAACTAGGGTTGTTTTTAGTTTATCATTTTCCCCTGGCCACTAAGAAAACTGATATTTAACAATGTAAACAATTAGGAACTAGAGAGAGATAGAGCATATGTGTTATCAATTGCTTAAGAAAATATTTGATAGACATTAAAATACAAATTTCTTACAATCAACAGAAAAAAAGAAGTCAGCAGGAAACATAGCTGAGCAATCAAGACTAGGATGACCTACCTGCCTTACCTCCATGTATACAAATTATCTGTCTTGCTCATTCTCGTGTAAAGAAAGCATCTAAGAGGAACAGAATTACAGGCATACTTTGTTTTATTGCCATTAGCTTTATTGCACTTTGCAGATATTGTGATAATTTATTTATTTTACTTTTTAATTTGTTTTGTTTCATTATGCTTTAAGTTCTAGGGTACATGTGCAAAACGTGCAGGTTTGTTACATAGGTATACGTGTGCCATGGCGGTTGCTGCACCCATCAAACTGTCATCTACATTCTGTATTTTTCCTAATACTATTGCCCCCCAGCCCCCCACCCCTGACAGGGCCCAGTGTGTGCTGTTCTCCTCCCTGGGTCCATGTACTCCCTCTCTTCAGCTCCCACCCATGAGCGGGAACATGTGATTTTTTTAATTGAAGGTTTGTAGCAACCTGGTATCAAGCAAATCTATTTGTGCCATTTATCCAACAGCATGTGCTTACTTCATGTCTTTGTGTCACATTTTGATAAGTCTCACAAAATCTCAAACTTTTCCATTATTATTGTATCTGTTATGACTATCTGTGATCAATGATCTCTCACGTTACTATTGTAATAGCTTTGGGGTATCAACAAATTGCACCAAAATAAGATGTCAAACTGAATAGATAAATGTGTGTTGCATATGTTCTAACTGCTCTACCAACTGGCTGCCACCCCCTTGTGTCTCTCTCTCCTCTCTCTATGTCTGTCTGCATGTCTGTCTCTCCCTCTCTCTCTCTTTCTTTCTCTGACTGTCTCTGATGAGGCCTCCTTACTCCCTGAAACACAACACTATTAAAATTAGGCCAATTATAACCTTACAATGGCCTCTAAGTGTTCAGGTGAAAGGAGGAGTTGGAATCTTTCACTTTAAATCAAAAATTAGAAATAATTAGACTTACTGAGGTAGGCATATTGAAAGCTGTGATAGGCTGAAAACTCGGTCTCTTGTGTCAAACAATTGCCAAATTGTGAATACAGAGGTTAAAAAATTCTCTAAGTAAATTAAAAGTGATATTCCAGTGAGCCCATGGACGATGAGAAAGTAAAACAGGCTTATTTATTTATGGAGAAAGTTATAGTGGTCTGGATAGAGGATTAAACTAAATCACAACATTCTGTTTTAACCAAAGCCAAAACCTAATTATACAAAGTCCTAGTGTCTTTAATTCCATGAAGGCTGAGAGAGATGAGGAAAATAAAAAGTTAGGAGATAGCAGAGATTGGTTCAGGAGGTCTAAGTAAAGAAGCTGTCTCCATGATGTGGAATTCCAAGATGAAGCTGCCAAGTGCTGATGCAGAAGCTGCAGCAAGTTATCTTAGAAGATCTAGCTAAGATCATTGATAGAGGTAGTTAACACCACACAACAGATTTTCACTGTGGACGTAACATCTTCCTATAGGAAGAAGATGCCATCTAGGACCTTCATAGCTAGAGAAGAGACATCAATATGTAGCTTCAAAGCTCTAAAGGACAGACTGATTCTCTTGTTAGGAGCTAATGCAGCAGGTGACTTTAAGTGAAAGCAAATGCTCACTTACCATTCTGAAAATCCCAGGGCCTTTGAGAATTATGCTAAGTCTATTCTGCCTATGCACTATAAATGGAACAACAAAGCCTGAATGACAGGACATCTGTTTATACCCTGGTTTACTGAATATTTTAAGCCCACTGTTGAAACATACAGTTCAAAAAATATGTCTTTTCATTTCAAAATATTCCTTGTCATTGATAATGCACCTGGTTGCCCAAAAGCTCTGATGGAGATGTACATGGAGATTAGTGTTGTTTGCATGCCTGGGAACACAACATTCTGCTGCCCATGGATCAAGGATTAGTTGTGATTTTCAAGTCTTCCTATTTAAGAAATACATTTTGTAAGGCTATAGCTTCTATAGATAGTGATTCTTCTGAACAATCTGGGCAAAGTGAGTTGAAAGCCTTCTGGAAAGTACTCACCATTCCAGCTGTCATTAAGAGCATTCGTGATTCATGGGAAGAGGTCAAAATAAAATTAACAGAAGTTTGGAAGAAGTGTACTTCAATTCTCTTGGATGACTTTGAGGGATTCAAGCCCTCAGTTGAAGAAATGACTGCAGATGTGGTGGAAACAGTGAGAACTAGAATTAGAAGTGGAGACTGAAAACACTACTGTATTGCTGTAATCTCATGACAAAACTAGAATGGACGAGAAGGTGCCTTTTATGGATGAACAAAGAAAGTGGTTTATTGAGATGAAATTGTATCTCCTGGTGACAACGCCATGAACATTGTTGGAATGACAACAAAGACTGTAGAATATTACACAATCTTAGCTGATAAACCACAGTGGGCTTTGAGAGGATTAACTCCAATTTTGAACAAAGTTGTACTCTGGGTAAAATGTTATGAAACAACATGGCATGCCACAGGGAAATCTTTAGGGAAAGAAAGCCCAGTGAGTGAGGCAGATTTCATAGTTGTTTCATTTAAAAATTTTTCCACAGCCCCTCTAACCTTCAGCAACCACCATGCTGATCACTCAGCAACCATCAACATTGAGTTGAGCCCCTCTTCCAGCAAAAAGATTATGACTCTCTGGAGGCTCAGATGATTGTTATCTTTTTACCAATAAAGTTTTTTCTAAATTAAGATATGTACAGTTTATTTTAAGATAATGCTATTGCACACAATATACTATAATATCTTGTAAACATAACTTT